GGGAGCGGGGCGGAGGGGCGCGGGAGGGGGCGACATTCGCTGCGCACGCGGAGCAAGGCGTGTCGGGGTCGCTAGCAGCGCTGTCGCTCGCTACATGGTGATTCTCTAGGTAGCTGAGGGGGGAGAGCAGACGAAACGGCATGCGGCGTCGGGGAGAGAAAAAAACGAACACATGCATAAATAAAAAAGAATCCTTCTTCGTTCATTTGGGGGAAAGAAGACTGTTCTGTAAGTGAACTGAACAGAAAAAATCTATTTAAAGCTTCTCTGGCTACCTGGGGACATTGAAAACTAGTAAACGAAAACGAAAAACTTAATATTACGAGGTCACATGCGAAACAAAATATTTGTTCCTCTATCAAAAAATCAGGTTCTGTTCTAGATTACATTTTAAATTTGTCAATTACAAAGCTATCTGGTAGTGCAGTTTACTTTTGCGCGAATATAAACTGTAAATAATATTTTCGTAATCTTTTTTCTTAATGAGAAGAAAATCATTCCTCGCATCTTCATCATGTACAAGAACATGAAAAAACAATTATCAGAATGTCACAGTCTAAAATCATCAGTAAATTCACATTATTTAGTGTGCGAATTGTGATGTTTAAAATACTACTAGGTCCCAGAGTTAACTGAGGATCAGTTACATTTTTATTAAATTACAATTACATTAAGCGTCCACCTAATAACGAATCGTTGGTACAAATGAACTTCAGCGTACTGAAACATTTAGAGGAACAAATAAGAACATCGGAAAACAAACAAAAAAGAACATTTGTTTTAAGGATATACTGGTGCTAATTTGTGTATTAATTGATGACCTGAGGGAACTCAGTGACATAGCGAGCAACAGATGCCATTGAAGATAACAATCATGCAGTTGTCAGGCACTTAATTACTTTTCCAGATATTGGGTTAAACAAACGTTTTGCCTGAGATTAGGCGGGGTACGGCTGCTTGGAGAAACCACAGAGCCCCTCGTTACACTGACTCGGGAAGATGAAAGGGAACCGTGTACCAAAACATTATACTTTGAAAATTGTCGGCATATTATGACGTGTATTAATAATAGTTGACACTTCTCAGACAATTACTTTTAAGTACCTGCAGCGAAAGTGAAGGAACTTCTGTTTCGAACTAATAACAAGGAATTTAAGTTAGCGAGATTTCACTGAAGTATTTAACAAAATACAACGTATCGTAAAAATATTTACATTATTCTGTACACTTGTAACACCTATAATAATATTAATGAAGATATTAATAATAATATTAATGAAGATATTAATTATAATAATAATAATAATAATAATAATAATAATAATAATAATCTTGTTTACATGGGACTCAGAGGTCTTTGGCCTATCGTCCTCGAGCGTAATAATTCCGAATGATCTGAGCTTTACCCTAACCATTTGATGGCCAATTTATGAAATAGTGGTCACTGTTTAAAATATAATACTGACAAAGTCAATTTAAAATGGACTGACTATTTCAACGCCAGCAACACCTCCGGAGAAGATCAATGACGTCGTACAGACCTGTTTTTTTGCTCGTTATCTACGTTCATCGAAACAGAAGTTTCACAATGAGTACGTTGTGTTGTGCTTCACTTTTGCAAGTTGCGGATGTAGTGTAGTCTGGATGTGGTTTGCTATTTCGTTAGCAACATGATCAAATCAAATCAAATCTGCATTTCGCTTAGCGACGTAAATACATTTTCTTTTACGCGGGAGCGAAAACGTCTGGTTTTCAATCGTTGCTAACCCCGCTTTGTTGGTACTTTTATTCATTATTCACGGGCGGATCCAAAGACAAATTTGGGGAGGGGAAATTAAAAATGGTTTGGTCGAAAGTGTCGTATTACAGATTTTGTAAATTGTCGCAGCCTACACTCAGCTCATGTTGCAATACGATTTTATTCGTTTTAATCATTATCAAAAAAATATTTTTACTTCAAAGTTTCGTAGCAAGTTAAAATTAATAGTTACCGACACATTTTAGGTGGGGGGGATTTCCCTCATTTCACTTCCCGTTGATCCGCCCCTGCACCATTCAACTATATTGAAACCAAGTTGCGAGTCGGGATTCTGACACTCAAAAAAAACTGCGCACCTCATACGTCAGATGAAGTTTTTACCGTTTGTTTCGACGCAAACAAGCGCAAACGAAGCAAGCCATGCACTCACCTCATTCCGCGAGAGACGCGCGGCCGCTCGGACTGCGTAGACAAGGCACTGCTCGTGATGCTGACGACGCTCTCGATGTCGCTGTCGCCGAAGTCGCCCAGCGGGTCCTTCTCAGGCGAGAGGGCGTGCCGGCCGCCGCCTCGCCGGCCCGCGCCCGCCCCCGCGCCGCCGCCGCCGCCCCGCGAGGGCAGGTCGCTGTCACTGAGGCCGGCGTAGTGCCGGTCCCAGCTCCCTGCGCAGGGCGCACCCGCCCTTCGTACGCCTCGCTCCGCCTCCTCACCGCCCCGCTCCGCTCCGCTCCACCTCGCCGCCACCCCCATGCCCATGCGCATGCCACCACCGCCCGCAGCGCCTGCCCTGCTTGCCACTGGGGATGCGACATCGCAAAGAGAACACCCATGTTTCCATCATGGACATCAAGACTCAAAATTAAAACTACAATGTTAGTAAAACATCGACTCAAACCCGTCAATGTTATTAATCACCGATGCTTTTAAAATTGGATTAGTAACCATTGAAGTTCTTGTTATCGTTTATTACATTGTAATCGATATTTAGCTGGCAAAATAAGTCAAGAAATCATGAGGACAATTCACAAAACACGGATTATCAAATTCGACATTCCAAAAATGGTAGAGGTTTCTTTATTGAATTTATTTTTATTCCTTTGTTACTTTGTTACTTTTGTTCTGAAGAATAGTCAATTTTTGAATATCTGAAAATTATTATAGAATTTTTTATGATAAACGTTTTTCATTTGAAAAATATCGATCTCGAAAATACATCGAACACAAAATATCTATGTTAAAAAACGTCCGTTTAAATAAAAATCGATGTTATATACACCGATGATTTTATAAAAGCATTGATGTTGATGTCGCATCCCTACTTGCCACCACGCGCTTTGCAAACACTGCTCACGAAGGGATCGCTGCTCTTATTCTAATTGCGGTTAATTTTCAAGATATAATTGCTATTCAAATGGTCTGGAGTACTAGAGGAGTATTTTAATACAGTACCTACATGAATGTTCATGGTGCCATTGTTAGAGGGTACTCTAATATCGTCGACGAGATTTCGCGATGCTAAATACTACTACAGAGTATTTTAAAACGATAGACGAGTTTTCAGCATACAACTGAAGTCTCGAGAACATGCTAATTCATAATTGATTAGTTTTGAGAAAAAATACGCGTTCCTACTAAAACTTCTAGTGAATAAAAATAAATACATTTTAAACGTAA